GTAAAAAAATCACACACACACGCACACATATATAAGTAAACCCGACGTGTCTGTAAGTGCTGTTCCAATTTGCAACTTTTAAACATTTTGAATACCAATTATCAATTTAAATGTTTTTGAACCAATTTGAGATATCCCTAACGATTACGAAATTATTACTTTCTCGCCATACGAAGAGAAAATTATTAAAAACACTTAGCATTGTTTATTGATAGTATGTTTGACTTGTTATTAATACTTGGTATCTTTAGATTTGAGACAATTATGTATTAAAATAGAACACAGGAGAAAACGGGTTGTTCAGAAACACGTATACTTCCATTCCATTATAAGATTTGGTTACAACTGCGGGTAAAACGTTTCGCGATATAAACATTATGCACACCATGTGTGCACATAGTCCTAATGAATGTGTTGGTGCAACCCAGTCTCAAACATGTTCAATTGGAAGGCCAAACGGTTCCAGTCATTTGGGCACGAATCATTTACCTTTTTCTGCTTCGGTTCGAGTTAGACCCAAAGGGCATTTGTGAGGCAGTAGTGGTAAGAGTGCTGGCAAGTTAACTTTGAGGATCTGAGATGTGTCTCGGAACGGGAAAAAATGCTTCTTGAAAACACTTTTGCTGGTTTAGGTAGTAGTACAATATTGCGAAGCGTTTAGAAACAAAGCAAGACAGTATGTGCTTTGGCATCACTAGTTTTTAAATTTTGAAAATGTCCAAAGGGGTTTTACCCCCAAAAATTAAAATATCGGTTTAAAATTCTAGGAGCCGCGATATCAGCCAGAATTTTTGGGGAATATCAACTTTGGAGAAAATCGGCTGAACGCGCTAGCGTTGTGCACTTACGGACAGAGACTTTTGAAGTCAATCGATTTTTCGTTATACGAGAAAGGACGCAGGAAACTTGGATTTTGGCTACACCACGTGTTAGGGGAATTAATATTTTCTAAATTTAGCAACTGAATGTATCCACTTTTTGTTACCAGGACCGGGCAGAAGTTTTGGTGTGGAAAATTCGCCGATTTCCGACGCACGATGACAATACATTTGTGGCGTCATATCATTCCTTGTAGAAACGTGACAAAATATTACCCACGTGCATTTCATGCTCATGAAATGCATGAGGAAATAGTTGCGACAGCGCTGGCAGAAAGGGACGCTGGGCTGAACAATGGCAAAGCTAGGGAGCGGAAGGGAAGGGGTTCCGTGTCGTGGGAGGCCACTTGTGAACCCCGTAGACCACTTGGGGCAAACTTGTGAACCCCGTAGACATGCTGGCTGTGGAAACGCGCCAGCGGAAACAGCGAGATGACGCAGTTCCGTCAGCCCGTCCAGATGGTAATTTAAACGGACCCCGGACCTAAACTCCTGATTCTTGGGCGCGTCTGTAGGATGTCGTGTGGGTTGTGCGCGGCGCTACATTTCAATGCATAGGCTACTTAGGAAGGGAACTGAAGCCGGCGCGCTACGTCGAGATGGGAGGTGCGGCATACTCGCATGTATGCTCACGTAGGCTACTGGTGCATCACACCGAATAACATATCAAATTATCAGGCTAGCGGACCAGGAACATTCCTTCTAGAAACGGTCAATATTGTTTATTGTAATTATTGTAAATAGTATTCAGGTGTTGGAGCATATTTCAAATAAATACTCAATAAATAACAAACCGTTCACGTCTGTGATTTATTGCCCCGGCAAAGACGCCACACTTTCTCTTCATACGTTAGTAAGTGCGGGAAAGAAATACTCTCTCTTGTTACGTTAGTAAGGCGAGAAAGTAAAAATAGTAAGTATGCAAAAGGCCAAAGTGCACATCTCTAGCCATTTAAAAGTGTTATCACATTAAAAATAAAGATTAAGTACAAATGTGTAATTTATATGTAAATCACAAGTGTGGTCAAATACCGCAAACCTCATTGTATTTAAAAAGAGAATAAATTTAGGAGGTTTAATAAGACTTTTTTCAATTTTTGTAAAAAACTAAAATGTGATGTCCTTACCCGTGCCAACCACCACAGAAGGTCCACCCGTATGGTCCCCTGCACAAGAGGGACGTTGATACAGAGTCACCTCGGGATGCATCTGAAAGTAGTGCTCTGCTTCCCTTGGGTTGGCGAAACGCACGAAGTACACCCCGGCGCCTTCTCCTTGACGGTGGGAATCTCCTTGCTCATTTCGACCTGCGGAAAGACGGTGCATCATATTCCTAACACACTCCGCATTTATAATCAATCGAAGAGCATTAGGTGCGAAAGCTAATTCTTTTTAAGCTAATAAATCACCACAAATTCGAAAATCCAAAACTGCTTTCAATACAGCCGAAAACATCGGCCAACAATGAGAAAAAATTCTAAGAATTTGTTGTATGCAAGTTTGTGTCTAGGCAATTTATATAAGATCGCATACATTTGTAAAGATGGTGATTAATTTTGTCATTGCGTCATTGTCGCGTAACGATGTTGATGTCATTAATGGTTGTAATTATTTTGGAAAGGTTGCAGGATTTAAGTAGAGAAAGGAATTCTTTTATGTCACTGAAGGTTGAAATGTTAGAAGATACATCGCACTGTATAATACGGTCGCGATCATGCGGCATCTAGCGACACGGCCGAGAAGGACGCGAAATGCCGTGAGATATTCCATCGTGAAGACAGACACTCACGCGCCACATTATAAAAACTGAAATACAGGGTTTGTTTGTCTGTCTTGTTCCGCTCTCCATTACTGGGCAGTCACAGGGGTAGATAGAGTAATTTTCGTGGTAGTTCGCGCATTTGAAAAGGGAAAAGGGCAACTCGAGGCGTGGTGTATGTCACTGCATACGGTCGGTCTGGTAGTAGTCATCAATTCTTAATCCTTGGATCACACGTTTAACGTGGCGTTCTTTAATTGTCGCGTGGTTTTAAATTAAACAATTAGGTGTATTGCTCATGTTTCAAAATGTACTTTTTTGTATCATTTTGATTATTACTTACAGAGAAAGTAACACAAAATTAGCAATTCTCAAAGACGGGTCAGTAGGTATGTACATAAAAGGGAATACATAAACACACACACATGTGTGTGTTTATGTATTTATTATATACACACACACACTCACACATACAGTATGATGTCGATTAGATACCTTAAATCGTCTACCTTGTTTAATCCGTAAAACTCTGATCGCATCCCCCCGCTAACTGATCAGGAGGCGCCACTGCTATCAATGAATCTTGTCCTGATGTTGGGGTAAGATTATATTCTTTGACTATTTTCCTGTGGGCGTCAGTCGTATTAGGTTGAATGATAAGTGTGCAGCTGATGTCCTCGGCGAATGTTCTTTTCCTTTGAGGGGTGTAAAAGCCTCACACGCGATGGGTAGAGCGAGAATCGAAAGTTCATCGATTGGCAAATAGAAAGTCACTCGTCCACACCACCACCTGGGATTCGGCTAGCGGTCGTGTTTCGGAGCGCGTCATCTGCTAAGGTTGTGCCATAAGTGTAGTGTATATTTTTATCATGTGAAGTGGCGGTGATCTTCCCCAGCTGGATGGCGACCGCCGGCATGCGGTAATTTTCCCCACCTGGTATCTCCTACCAGCGGTGCACCGCCCCAGCCGGGACAAGCTAAGCTCCCCGGCTGGTCTCCCGACAAGCGTGGTAGAGTAGGGCATGTGAGTTTGCGTATGTAACGGGTGGGGATAGGGCAAGGAACTGGAAAGAAAGATCGCGCGCGGACCGTGGCCTGTTTGTTCGGATACTGCCCCCGACGACATTCGTCTCGTGTTGATCGGAGAAACAACGGAAAACTACACATCAGAGCAGCTGGTCGCTGGAAGTTTCCATCAGCGGTTGAATTCGACCTAGCTATTTAACTAATATCGAAAGTCCTGCCACCGTTGGGGCTCGAATCATAGGACCACCCAGACAGAAAACTGCAGTGACATCAGTTGATGCTCAGAGCCACCCTTGCCGGCCCTCTCTCTCTTACTCACGTGCTGGCATATAAGTAGTTTCTCTCAATCCAGGCATTTTATACACCTCAATATACACATCAGTGAAGCCCTGTTTAGACACAGTCGAAGGACTCTGAAACAGAAAATGGCATAAACAACCAGTTTTCAATTCCAAAATTCCAGGAATAGGAGAACAGAAAAAATATTTTAAAAATATTAAGGAACAGTAAAACCTCGTCCAAAATGGCTATTATCATTAAAACATGTGGATCCAGTTTTAAGAAAATGTCTTTTAAGCGCTACTGTACATGCGAATTTAGAAGCTCATTTGCACAGAAAATCTTCATTTAAAGTCATTTGAAGCACTTTAACTAACAAATACAGTAGTGTTTACAAGTTGCTGGAAATGTGCATAATAACGGCGTAAGAGATCTTTCAAAAAATTACATTTGTGCAATTAAAAAAAAAGAAAGAATGCCCCCATGTGCACATTACGTCATATTGAATAGTACAATAAGATCTATCAGTTCCAAACATTTGAAGAAAATATTTGGAACTGTTTTTGAGAAAATGCTAAATATACTCTACATGACGACATTTTGCTCTATTATTTTGTTCTTTTTTTTAAATTACGAAAATGTCATTTTTTTATTTGTCTTCCATGTCGTTAATATTTATATTGGCGGAAATTTGTTCACATTATTGTATTTAACAGTACATGTGTTTAATAATGTCATATAAGGTTTCTCGAAACCTATACTGTTTCCTGTGAAAACTAGCTCAAAATTCATATTCCTAAATTTTGAAGGGGGTCAGCGATTATCGACTGTTGGATGAGTGGTCGTCTATAGGCGAATGTGAATGGGTTTGGTTTGATAGGCCTACACATACTAACTCATTTTCAGAAACGCTCAAACGCCATTTTCTCAAAAACGGTTACCAATTGTTTCTTCAAACTTTGGAACAGATAGTGCTAATTGTACTCTTTAATATGTCGTTCTGTTCATTTGGGGGTATTTTTTTGTTATTCAAACTTTACACAAATGTGATTTTTTTAAAGATATCTTAAGCCGTTAGTGTGCAAATTTAAAAATGCGAATGCATATTTGTGGGAAAAATTGTCGAGTACCATATGAAGAGTTAATCTGCTTTAGCTTGTGCCCCTTACACTGCATGCGTCTCCTCAGTGTATATTATTCACAACATACTACATTCAAATGCACTTGCAAACTCACCCTGGTGTCCTCCACAACATTGTCATTGGTGTCAGTACGAGGCTGGAGGAAAACTGCGACTGTAGTCTTCGGCTCCTTCAGCAAATTAAAACAAAATACGTTTGTAATAATATTTATTTTTGATCAGTTAATTTGATAAGTGAGTATGATGTCAATATCAGGGATACCCAAAGGGGTCGATATCAACCCCACGGGGATCAATAATTTCTAGCCGAAATTATGCAAAAACTACTCATTTGTAAAACAAATTGCACATGACCTTTTTAAAGAGCTTATTCTGTACAACAGACTTTGTCTGAGGCAAAAATCTCTTATCTTCAATTTTGTACTTTTGAAATGTTTTGGCAATTTTCGAAAAAAAAGTCATACCCGAAAATGACACTTGCGCCATATTACTAACCATTCCTTATTACATATGTGAAGAAAATTTAAAGAAAAAATTTGGAGCGATTTATGATTTTTTTGTTGTAAATTTCAATCGCAAATTACGTAAAAACTACTGATTTTTGCAAAAAATTGTACATGACCTTTTTTAATGAACTAATTTTGTAGTTTTAATTTTTTATTTAAAAAGAACTGCAATACGCGAAACGAGGCTAAACCATATTTTTCATCGTTTGTGAAGAAAATTTAAACAAAAAAATTGGGACGGTTTTTGAGAAATTTTTTGTAAATTTCAATCGCAAAATACGCAAAAACTATTACTTTTTTCAAAAAATTGTACATTACCTTGAAGGGCTAATCTTGTACAACAGACTTTGTCGGAGACAAAAATCTGTATCTCCAATGTTAATGTTTTTTGTTATTTTATTTATATTATTATTATTATTATTATTATTATTATTATTATTATTTTTTTTTTTTCCGAAAAATCGGGGGTGTGAACTCAAATGAGACCCACACCATTCTCTTAAACATCCTTTTCACTACTCAACAATAAAATTTAATCCAAAAATTTGGAGCCAATTTTCAAAATGCTCCAGGAGCTTTATGTTAAGTACCACCCAAAATAAAAAACATAGGTTTCATGAACAAAAAAAAAATACAAAAAGGTAATTTCCTTTTGTCATAACATAAAATAAATGTCTATACTCAAATGCATCGTTCTGATGTACAACCAAAAATAATGACATATCATTAAAATCCACCCATAGATATGATTATGTATAATGTTACAGATAATAACATACAAGTAAGGATGTCAATGGAGCATACAATTGTTTAAAAGGGGTCTATGAAGAAAAAGATTGGGATCCTTGGTCTACATACACGGAAGTGAAGCAATTGATGTTACATGATTACCTCTTCATTATCTTCCTCTTTCACCCCACTTTTCAAGGTGCTGGGCTCACCCAGTGCCTGCAAATGACAAAAATTAAATATATATCTCAAAACAATTATTACTATAACCAGTATTTTATGTTAAATTTGAAAACTTTTAAATTAGAATCAAGTTATAACCTATTTGTAACTCAAGGGGTCACCTCTTTTCTGTCAACATCCTTTTATATGATTCTCCTACAACTATATACAGTATATACTAACTCATGAGTATACAACTAATGTAGGATATTCGAACTTGTCATGAAAGAAATAAATGAATGGGATTAACACCGACTAATGAATACACAACGGCAAAGAATCGAATACAAAAAACCTATATGTCCTAATGTAATGTTTTAAAGAATATAAACCAACAAGTCTATCAACACACATGCTGAATAATAAACAAAAGCAAGTGTCTATGTCACTTAAAGACCAAATCAGTTTTTAATGTTCATTGTTTAATATAATTTTTTTTTTCATTTTAATATACTTGGGAGAGGACATTAATCAAAATTATATTTACATGATTGCAAGAGTTAAAATTCTTATATTTTTTTAAAAATAAATTATTGTCCTAAGAACTTTAATGAGTGACCAGGATTTCCTGGATTAAAAACAATCAAATTAGTAACTAATTGTACATTTAACTTTGAATAAAGTTGTATTTTGTAATATAGTTCTTTATTATTGAATAAAACATTATTCAAATCTTTATTTAATGTAATAAGAGTATATTCACCTGCTTGTCGTTTATCCAACGAACTCTGAATTATCTTATTGTTACAAACATATTTACAATATTTATTGACACATTTTTTCAATAGCTCATTCACGCTTTCATATTCAAGGCACAATGAAAAAGAGTTTTAAAAAATGAAGAAAAAAAACAACAAAGTGAAATAAAGAAACAACTTACCGTGGATGTCTGAAGAGGATACTCCAACCAGTCATCTGGTTCTTGTTTAAACTGGAGACAAAACAAACTGATTTTATAAACCTTCAAAACACAAACCTGTCTTTTGAATCCTCTAATAAATGGCAATATGAAAAAGTGAATTTTTATTTCAAAACAACAGTAGTTGTTTTTCTCTTTCTTCCCCCTTCCCCAAATTGAACATTTCCTTATTTATCTAATCAGAAATTTATCTAATTTCAAAAAATATGTTCACTATAAGGGCAAGTTCACTCAACTGTGACAATAGTGAATTAGGGGAAAGTGGGAATGTGTGTATGTAAAGCCAAATAAAATGTGTGTATGTGAAGCATTCTAAATTTGTTTGTGGAATAATTTTATTATTACATTCAAACCAAAAACTAATAAAAAATGCATATTGTGTTTCAATGTTAAAAAAGTATTCAAAACATTTGAATTTTCATGCATTTTTTTTTTTTAATGAACCTTAGTTACAACATAAATCTGCGGGAGGGGAACTTTCAAGTCAGGGGACAGATCTAAAATAATGCTTCATGAGGCCTTAAGCGTGAACAACCTATAAGAGTACCTAATAATATTAAAATACGTATTTATTTATTTATTGGAGCCTGTACAGATAGATATCACCGAGGGCTAAGGCCTACTGCTTTTGCAGGAACATAACATAATTTTTTTTTTTTAAGTATATTACTTCTTATTACCCTTTAGAGTGAATTAACATTTTTTAGCTTAAATGCATACATTATTTATTTCCTCAGTTTTTGATTTGTATTAATACATATAATAATTTATGTATTAATATGTAACAATAGATTCACATGATTTGTCCTAGATGCCTATTTTGTGTTTGTATGTATTAGTACTACAATGTAACCATAAATATTAAAATTAATTGTAACTATCACAATTTAAGAATTAAATATTAAGACATTTTGCATATTATGAAATAATATACAATTGTTTAAAAAATATTGGGTGCTCTAATTCAGTAAAGGCCTTAAATGATCATGGATTTGTTAAGCATTAAAGAATTATTTCAAATTAATTTTGAATTTTGGAATTACTGAAAATTACAGTGAAATATTACTGCTGAAGTTTAGAAAACCCATTATTATTGTTTGAGTGCAGGGGAGGACTGAGTCACTTTGACTTCTGAGACATATTTTGAGATGGACACCTCGGAGAGAGAAAGAAAATTCTCATTGTACTAGAACATACATCAATTGCAACAATTGAAGTTAATTTGAAACAATCTCAATATAGTTCCGTGCAACAATGGTTAACATTTGCGATGCTCATTTTCAGTTATTCGTAAAATATTTTGTGTGTTTTTTAGAAAGGACAGTGGCCAAATATGATACAGTTTGGTACAATCTTCTTATAGATACTGGTTAAAAATTGAACTCTGCATGTACTGTTAAAAGAAGTGGAGAATATAGACAGTGATTCAATCATGGGTATTACTATCTGACCTCTGACAATGCTAATAATGATTACACTGATGAAGAAAGTAGAGATGTAACCGTCACTATCACTTCTTACTTGCATGGCTTAAGGTAGCAGCATTTGGGAGGGGGGGATTAGGCATTCTTTACTCCATGCGAAGAAGTTCATAGTGTTGATGAGACTATGGTGCCATATTATGGGTCATATGGCATGAAACAATTCAAAGGGAACCCCATCAGATGGGGTTATAAATTATGGACTAGAGCAAAACTGGTGGGCAACAGAGAATGATGTGATCTTTACAACGTTGTTACTCATAATTTACCCGACTAGCATACAAATTTTGTCTTGTCTGGTCTTCGAGCAAGTGGTGTGTTACAATTTGTATATGTGCTCCAATCAAACTTTGCAGATTTGCCTTATCACATTTACTTTGATGACTTTTTTTACTTCTCCACATTTGTTCTTGGAAGCAATGACATCGAAAAATTGTAAAGGGAAAGAAACCATACAAGAAAATAGGGTTGGTAAAAAGTGCCCTCTGATTTGGTCAAAAGAGCTAATTAGAAAGAAAAAAAGAGAGTTCTACAATTATGTCATCAGATGGAAAAGTGATATGTAAATAAAATGACAGAAATGTCCGGTCAGTTGCAACCAATGACAATCAAGTGTTGCCCACATTTCAAGTAAAGAGGTTTTCCCAAAACAGAAAGAAAAAGTTCAAAGCTGAGCAAAATGCTTACATCGATAAGACGGAGGTAAAACGGATCACCTGTCCTATAGGAGAGAGGTTGCTGTTGACATTTTAGAAACATTCAAAAAGGGCATTAAAAAGTGGTCTAGCAGAATGTCTGCAAATCTACATGAATATTCAAGATTTTATGGAATTGATCATCTTGTTTCGTATAAGATGAACATGATGTGGTTAGTGTTACAAGAAGTGCAACTTCTTTTGTAAAAACGCTCTTTAGCACTGCAATTAAAAGATAGTTTTGTATCTTACCACACGTCATAAATAAAACATTGTTTTTTAAACTTTTCATTATATCTTTTATCTTTATCAGTTTATATCTTTCATACTTTTTGTTCATCTATCTGTATTTTTTTCTGTTGCTCAGCTGAATATAATTACCACTGACCTTGTATGACACCTGTTTTTGAAGATTGTATTATTGATATAACATTTTAATAAAAAAATACGTATACATATTTTTATTTTTTTGAACCTCTTAAAATTGTATTGCAATATTCCGAAAATAAATAGTTTCGGCAATTTCTGAGTTAAGGATGTGTTTACATTTGCATTAATCCCCGCCTAAATTGGTAAAGGGGAGGGAGAGGAGTTTAAAAATATTTTGTGAATTTAAAAATTAATTACAATATAATCGGCTTACAAAATTGAATAGTTTTGATTTATTATTTTCACGATATAACTGTTTCTGTCTTTGATAATATCACGTTCTCACGGAAAGAAAACGAAAGTAGATTAGCACCAAAGTAGTTTAGCAATATTTGTAAGGATACTGGAATTATGAAAATGGTATAGACTGTCAGGAAATTAGTTGCCTGAAAGTCAGAATTTGATTACTAATGGAATAACTATTGAAATGAAAATTCAATTCACATTTTCATTTCAATACGAACACGTCATCGGCGCGCCCATATTTAAGAATATCGATTCTACAAATACATTTCAATACTAAACGTAACATATATAATATTAATAATACCTTCTCAAATTTTATTATATTTTCTGCAATCATTTTTATTTCATCCATAGGCAAGTTGCTTTTCCACCAATTGTACACCACGTAAACAAATTGGCACTTCTCCCACTCCCTTCTACGCCGCCAAACAATTAGAAACAAAACAAATACAAAACCTTTTGTATTTATCGCAGTTCATTACCAGATGTAAAAATGTCCAGAGGTCTGTGGACCATTTTATTAATATTATTTTTTAACCAATTTTAATTATTCACATTTACTAATTAACTAATGTTAATTTGACCAGGTTATATGAGCGAATCTGTGGCAAAGCGATCTTTTGTCATTATTCGTGTTTGTTGGCGACTGTGGCAGTATCATAATGAAGGATTTGATTTATTTAGCCAAAGAACAGTAAAACTACTTTCAAACAGAATAACGTTTATAAAAGAAAACATGATGATTTGTGAAGGATAACAACAACAAAAAAGTACATGCAGCTAATGAGAATGTATGGCTGACATTGTTTTAAGATTTGATATGTTGATTTCATTTGAATTACGATTTATTATTGATATAGTCTGTTACTAAAATATGTGTTACTTCTACTCCATAACATTTTTTAATTTTTTTTCATTTCGAAATATTTAGTTCAAATACTTGGTGGACGAAATATTCTACATGAATGGTGAAGAAAATACTACTCGTAGAAGAGCAGATTGATGTTACGAGTTACAACCAAACCGCGCTTTCAAAAACAAAGAGGCAGTCGAAAGGTTTGTGAACCACGAAATCCACAGTTTCATCGAGAAAGCAAGTACTGGCATTTTTACAAGTCCCACATAACGAAAATTACATCTTGAATAAAGATGTAACTGTTTCAGAGCTCTGAGAAGTTTGTAGTAATGAAATAGTAAGTTTAAAAATATCTTATATAACACAGGATGCTTAATTCAAAAATGTCAATATACATTGCCAAGACTAAAAATGAAATATCCAAAAGCTTCCTAAAACAGATGAAAAAGAGATCTCAGGCTAATAACATTAATAAAAAGGGGCATTAATAACACCATACATGATGCTATGACCTAAAGGAATATAAGGAAGGAAGGATTTCTTCAGGGGTTTGAGAGTGGCCGTTGTGTTGCTCATTCCGTTTGCAAAAACACGATGTGGACCATTTCTGTTGCAATTGCTACTTATTTAGATTCACCAAACTCAAATAAGAATCTCAGCGACTGTCTGGGCTAATGCAGGACGCACGGCCAGTATATAAAGACTTCGTGGTTGAAAAAGCAATGTTGTTGCTGAGGACTATTTAGCGGAGAACATTGTATCGAACCAGAAAATTGTTCGATTTATATTTGGTTAATGCGTCAATACGTGGTAAGAACGTTGCAGCTTCTATTAGTTCTGCCCTTAATAAAAATAACAACTGGGAGGCTTTAGAAAATAGAAAATTTTCAGTTTCTATTATAAATTGTAATTTCTATTTGTGTTCACATGAAATAAACATATTAAAATTAACATTAATTTTTTTTAATACTCGAGATAGTCTCTAATTTTAGAAACAGTTATGCGACAGAAAAGATTTTACTTGGGACTTAAAAATTTTCTATCGATTTTAATCGTTTAATATAGTCTGGCAAAGTCTTGTAAAACAATGTACATGTAGTGTATGCGATATTTTTGTAGTGAGTAGTTGATACTGTCACCTGATGAATATTGTTACTAAGTCCAATGCTGTAGTTATAGGCACCGTCGTTTGCTAAACATATATTCCCGCCCTTGAGCAAGTCATTTTTGATTAAAAAAAACACTGATTCGTAATCAAAAGACGAGATAATGGTAATTCCTATATTAATAAAGAGACTTAAGAATCACGTGGGAGGTGGCTAAAAGAAGTATTTTCCCAGAATGTATGGCATATCTCAGGCAGAACTGTACATTCGCAAAATATACACAACGAGCAATAAGAAGGCTGACTGAATTTGAAAGAACTCTGAAAGCGTAGGAAAATGAAGTAGATTTATGTTCAATTCATTTAAATAAGCATTCTATTTGATATTTGACTGAATTGAGAGTGCTAAAAAATTGGTTGTCTTAACGTCAGTCAATGGCACACCGTTCATTTTCAATGGAGTAGATAATTGTTTATTTGAAATGGAAAACTGCATTGAAACTGTTTTCTTTTTAATTACTATTAAATTGTTA